GGCGATTTTGCACGTTGTTTGGGCTTTGCCGATGAAGGCACTACTACTTGGAAAGGCAGAACTTCACTTGATGACCTCGTCAATGTCCGAGCTGTCCTCTGGGTCGTCCTCTTCGATGAGCACAAAGCCTTCTTTTTCCGCCAGCCTGTCGAGCACGCATTTTTGTGCCTCATTGAGGGAGCGGCTTGCTTGGATGCCAGGTCCCATCGAGGGTGATGTACTTGACTGACAGTTGCCTAAACGTGTCCTTCAAGAAGAGGCCGGGAATCGGGCCTGCAGGCAAGCAATTCTGAACAGCCTTGTTCAAGAATTGCACAGCATCTCCTGAGAATGTCGACAAGTCCCTCAGGATTGACGTTGTGCTCCCGGAAGCATTTTCTTCCTGCTTGACTTCGTCAACGATTAATTCAATCAAGGCGCGGGCAGTGAATTCCCCCCTTATGGCCATGAGATCCTTCTTCAGGGCCTTCATCTCCGACGTCTGCGCCTTCATCTCCGCCGCCTGGATCTGCGCCTTCATCCGCCTCGATCTGCGCCTTCATCTCCGCCGCCTGCGCCTTCATCTCCGCCGCCTGTGTCTGGGCCTTCATCTCCGCCGCCAGGGCGCGGAGAAGCAGCTTCGCTTTGTCCTGGTCATTTTGTTTGGCCAGTTCGTTCGCTAGCTCTTCCCACGCTTCCGCTGACTCTGCCCGGCACCCTCGCACGGCCAGAGACTTTGAAGGAATTTTCGTGCTTGCCACAACCCCGCTCGGCCAGACGACAAGGCCGAAGGCGAGCACAAATAAAGCACAAATCCGGGCAAATCTATGGCTCAGAACGCCCATGGCGCAGCAAAATCAGACCAACAGCTATAACAAACTGAGCTAGCAGTTCTGCGCCTCAAGTCGAATGCTGAAACAGGCTTCCGGCATGAATGCGCTGATGAGCAAGGCTAGCTTACTCTTGCGGTCCGATAACAACAAGCCAGGCGCACCTTTTTTGCTTTGAAGTTGTAGCACAGAGAAACCG